TTTAAGTATTTGGTATTGGTGTAGGTTAGTTATAGAATAATAAACAAAAAGAAAAGAAATAAATTAATAAATATTTTGTTTTTTCTTTCTTTCTTTTTTTCTAGTGATCAAGTGAGTGTAAATGAAGATTTTTCTGAGACTAACTTATAATATTTAGGTTATTGTTCAACGAGCACTGGCTGCTAAAAATTTAACTCATGCTCGAGCTGGTTGTATAGTTGCTAGTTATTTAAAATTTTTGCCTCTTTTTCTTATGATTATTCCTGGTATGGTTGCACGAATACTTTTTCAAGGTAAAATAACATTTATTGCAAAGAAAAAAAGTAATAATCTATTAAAATCTTTTAATTGTCATATAAGATGAAATTGGTTGTTCAACTCCTGAAGCATGTGACAGAATCTGTGGAAATAAAGCATCATGTACTGATATTGCTTATCCATTAATTGTTATTAAATTAATGCCAAATGGTTTACGTGGTCTTATGCTTGCTTGTATGATTGCAGCATTAATGTCATCATTAACATCAATATTTAATTCTTCATCAACTATATTTACAATTGATATTTGGCAACGTTTTCGTTCAAAAGCACCACAATGGGAACTACTGGTTGTTGGAAGGTAAAAATTATTAAAACAAAAAATACAAATGAGAATTTTTTTTCGTATATTCAAAGAATTTTTACATTAATTCTTGTGGGCATATCAATTGTTTGGATACCGATTATATCCGCAGCACAAGGTGGAAAATTATTTGATTATATTCAGTAAGAAAATAAATTCATTAGAAAGAAAGAAAGAAATAGATTTAATTTTCGTTTTTTTAGAGCAGTAACAAGTTTTCTTGCACCACCAATTTGTGCTATTTATCTTTTAGCAATTTTATGGAAACGAATTAATGAAGAAGTTTGTATGATTTGAAAATGAAGAATTAAAAATTGCTTTTGAGCAATTATTTAGGGTGCTTTTTGGGGTTTGGTATGTGGTTTATTAATTGGTCTAACACGTTTTATATGGGAATTTTCATATTCAGTACCATCATGTCTATATTCATCAACAGATACACGTCCACAAGCAGTCAAATTTCATTTTCTATTTTTTGCAATTTTACTTTTTGTATTAACTTGTTTAGTTACAATAACTGTTAGTCTTCTTACTCGACCAATACCTGAACAATGTGTATGCTTTTGATATTATTGAATAAGTGAAGAGATTATTTTTGTTAAATATTTTGATTTATTTTTAAGTTACATGGTTTGAATGTATTTGATTTGGATAATCAACAAAAACCAACACCAATACCAACTAAACCAGGCCGATGGCATAAAGCAGATACATCATTTGAAGATAAACATATTCAACCAAAATCACCTGTTCACCCGATATCACGTGTTCAATCTGCTGCTGCTATAAGAAAATTTGGTCTATTTTTTCCAGGTAAAGAAAATAAAAAATCTTGTTTTCATTTCATTAGTAATATTTTCGTATATCTATATAGATCCATCAAACAAGAATGTAAAATATTATTCAAAAGTCGCTTTATCTTGGATATGTGGAGTTGAACATCAAGGTGAAGATGATAATAAAGCAGCAGTTATGCCGGCAATGCCACCATTAGCACCTGAAAATCTACTTTGGAAACATGTCTGTAATATAAATGGCGGTGTGATTATAGCTTTTTGTGCTTTTCTTTGGGCATTCTTTACTGATTATCGTATTGATAAAATGTATAAAGGTGCTTGAATATAAACACTATATTCATTGAACAATAGACTTTATTTTAGTTTTTCTAGTTCTCTATTTTTTTATTTTATATGTATACAAATATGAAATATACTTTTCTCTTTCGAAACAAAATATTACATATCTATGCAACTGATTAGAAAATCTTCGAAAGTGTTTTTCAAAGATTTCACTGTATAATTATCTTTCATTTTTGTTTAGTAAGTTTTCTGTATTTTGCTTCCTTGATGTTAATTGCTTGAAAGTCAAGAAAGTTTCTATTGAAAATTTCATATTCAAATGCTCGTATTGGATATTTAATTTCATTATCAATAAATTCAATTACATTGAAATAAATCAAAGAATTCTTCAAGTTATCGTTTAAACGTTTCATCATGTAAATATTTCGTGACATGCAATGACACGAAATGTAGTTATCTGAACTCGAAATGAGTTGCCTGATCTGAACTTTATTTCTTTCTTCATGGAAGATTTTTTACATATGAAAAAAAGTTTTCAACTTCGAAAATAGATTTTATTTTATTTTAATCTTTGTTAATCGAATAAAAAGTACCGGTCTCTGATCAATAAAACTTTATTAATCAATTACGGAAGACTATAATCAACGAAAGCCTATCTTTAAAACTACAAAATCAGGATTCAATCGCACCATTTTAGTCAATTTTATTCTGATTCGCTATAGATGACAATCAGAAATGTTCATTATGCGAACGTGTTGACAATTGCATTTAGCCAATAAATAAAAGCAGAGCATTTATTATATTCAATGACATTCGTCAGCTACACATAAGGCCGAGTTCACTATCAACTGCATTGAGTGGTATGTTCTTGTTTCATGGAAACCCTCTTTATTAGCTCATTTCATTGACAGAATAGTTTTCCTTTGTGATCGACACAATTTTTTTAGACGCATTTCATAATTTTTCTTAAGAAATCTTGTCTTGGAGAAAAAGAAATAAACTAAACAGTAATGACATTATTAGACATTTGTTAAAATTAATGTTCCCATCAGTAAAAAGGCCAGAAAAATGCTTTCCATTAGTTGATATGGATGTAGATTTAAATTTTAGCCTTTCCTATTCGTACACATCCGGATTTAAAGGTGGCAACATCGACTTAATGCAAATATTGCCACCTCCAGTTCAATCTTATATGTATTGATAGATGAATTTAGGAAAGATTATGTGTTCAAACATGGCTACGATGAGACAACTTGACAACAACATGAATAAGTCTCTACAAAATAAAAAATTGATTTTTCGACATGAAAGAATTCTTAATTTAATAGAATGATATGGGAAAGGCTGTTTGTCATTAGATAAATATGCTGATAAGATTAATAAAACCTGACAATAATATTTTTTGTCAGTGTCTTCTGTATCATGTTTTCGTTTCTATTATTATAATGACTATCTATAATACAAACACTGAAAAAAAAGTACATTACCGAACTTTTGATATTTCATCCTCGTGTCCGGAACATTTTCAGGTATCGTGCAACTGTATATAACCTTTATAAGGTTTCGTAGTCAATTAAGTTTCGTGAAAATCATATGTAATTTTTGCTAGTCGGAAAAAGTTTCGCACCAAACTAACAGGTCTCACTGTCTAGAGGATTCGCATGAAACCAATCTTTTTTCTTACACCATCTATACCAAGAACATGTGTTCTCCAATCAGATAGTGGACTGATCTGGCATCATTGGTCTGTTGCTGCATTTACATAGACACTACAATCCATTCTGGACATTGAACGATGGTTCTCGGACTTCATGTATCACAAATCAGTACTACTGTTCGGCAAAGAACTAACATCTTACGGCTAGATAAAGACATTAAGATAGAAATATTGTTTTAATGATAGACATAAGAGTTTAAATTTAGAAATGAGCTGCTAAGGATAGGCTTAGAGATTAGATTTAGCAATAAAGAGATTAACGATAGATCTCATGAAATTGAAGTAAGAATAAGTTGCTAATGATGCATGTAAGCGTTTTGATTTAGGAATAAGCGGTTAATGATCAATATAAGGGTTTAGATATAAATACAAATGGCTAAGCGGACATATGAAGGTTTGGAAACCGCAGTAAGCTTTTAGGGATAAATATAAGAGTTTAGATGCAGGTTTAATCAGTTATGAATAGATATAATGATAAAGATCTAGCTATCAGCGGTTAAAGGATCGATTTAAGGGCTTAGATTATGGGTGGCACTTTAACTTTAAATATTAAAGTTAAAGTGCAACCCCTAGCTTAGATGCAATAATAAGAGGGTAACGATACATATAAGGATGTAGCTTTAGAAATAAGCAGTTAAGAATAGATATATGAGAGTTTAGATTAAGGTTCAGGCAGCTAAAGATAGAAATAAGGGTTAAGAATATTTATAGGAGCTTGAATATAGAGGTAATGGGTTACAAATAGGTATGAGGGGTTCGAAATATAGGTAGATTAAATAGGTGTTTGAGAGGGGACGGATGAACAAAATCGTATTGTCTGGAACGTAATAAGAAACGGATACATGGAAGCCTATTTTCAAGCAATCAAAGTAAAAGATGCGCACGAAACCCTGTTGGTACGAAATTTTAAATGGCTTCTAGTTAGTTGCAAAAAATCGGAGCTCTTTTGAGTTTCGTATAGTACCTTTTTTGTTTTCAGTGAAGTTGTATTTGTTTTATTTTTCATGAAATACTGTTGAACGAAACGTGTCGATAGCACGGTATAAAAAGACTTGTTAGTGAAGCAGGAAAATGACTTAATTAGTCTTAGTTTTCGATACAACAGGACCAAACCGTATTGAGCGACATGAGTGTTTCTGTTGTGAAACAAAATTAACTGTGTGCTAAAATTAACATAGTAACTAAAAACACTGACCTATCTTACTCTTTAATGCATCTTGGTCTTTTAATTCAATTAGTAATTGGACTTGTCTGTCAGGCTATTTCTCGAACATCAAACTGGTGCTACCTCAATAAACTTGCGCTTATTGTAATAATAAACTTTTTAAAATATTCTAATAAATGACTATAATGATTTTTGAGATACATCTTGTAAAAATTTTTTTTGTAAAAGAAATATACTTTTAATAGTGTCCTTCTGAACTGAGCCGAACTCTGATAGAGTAGGAATCAAGTCGAACGGGCATGAGCAATTCTTAGCCTGGTAGGGACCATCACTACTTACTCCCATGATATTGCACCATCAAATGTAATACTTCATTGATTTTTAAAACTCACATTTGCGATAAGATAAAATACAACAATGGATGAATCTGAATTTCGAGCTGAATATGCTAAATCAGACCGATCAACATGCCAAGGATGTCAATCGACCATAGACAAAAATTCACTTCGACTTGCTATTATGGTTCAATCCCCAACATTTGATGGAAAAGTCTCACATTTTAATATTCTTTTAATTAAAAGATAAATAGAATAATTCATCATTTAGATTCCAACTTGGTACCATACGGAATGGTTTTTTTTTAAAGTCACACCTGCAGATGCACAAATAACAACAGGTTTTGATAATCTACGTTGGGATGGTCAAGAAAAAATTCTTAAAAAAATTGATGATACATTAGAAAATAAATTAAGTAAATAAAATCGAGAAAAATTGGAAAAACAAAATTCATTCTCCTAGATGATGAATCCAGTGAAATCGAAACTGATTCGGAATTTTTCAGTGTTGAATATGCTAAATCAAACCGAAGTACATGTAATAGTTGTTACAAAAATATTGATAAAAATCTTGTTCGTTTATCAACAAGATTTCCAACAGGATATTATAAACCAACTGATAACTGGTATCATGTTGATTGTTTTAAAATGCGTAAAAATAGCCTTTTTTTGATGGAACTGTTGAAATGTTTGTTATTTATTTAAAAAAAAATTTACTTTTTAATTTAATATTTATTTATTTAGATTTTTCGGTTTTAATAACCTTACTAAAGAAGATCAACCTGAATTGAAAAAAAATTGGTTCATTAACTATTAATCGAAAACGTAAAGGTCATAGTACATTAAATTCAACAGGTGACAATAGTGATGTATCAAACGCTAAACAATCAAAAAGAGAAAATAATAACGATTCAACACCTGAAGAAGAAGAAGAAAAAGGAAAAAAAAGTTTATTTTATATTATTTTTCGTATTTTTTTCTTATAGGAGCAAAGTGACTTACTTTGGAAATATAAAGATGCTTTAAAAAAAAGAAGTACCAGATGGCGTTTTAAAAGAGTTACTTGAACATAATCAACAAAAACCTGTTAGTGAAGAATCAACTGTAATATATCGTTTATTTAAATATGTAACATATAATTTACTTGGATATATTTAGTTAGTTGACGCAGTTGCTGATTGTATGACATTTGATGCATTAGAACATTGTCCTGAATGTGAAGGATTTCTTATCTTTGAGTAAATATTTTTCATTTGAAAATTTATTTTTCTTTTTGTATAATTTTAGATGTTTTAGTCATTCATCTTATCCTCGTACAGGTGATGTTACAGAATGGACGAAATGTACTTATTCAACAAGAGCACCAACAAGAAAGCCATTTGATATACCTACTGATATTAAAAATACATATGATGCTTTGTAAGTATTTCTTTTTCTCTTGTTAGTGAAATATTATTTGTGTTTTTTTTTCGTTTAGTAAATCATACAACTATAAAAAACGTGATCGAATTTTAGCACAAGTAATTGAGAAACAAGTTACAATTGCTAAAGCATCTGATGTTTCACGAGTTATTCAAGAGTCTTTATTAATGTATGTTTAATTAGNGCTTATTAGTGTTAGCTATCATTTGGGATAAAGTATCGAGTGAAATGTCCTGTTGACCAATCCATATGGTAGCAGTTGATGATAGTAAACGGTTTTGCAATTTTGTGCACATATAAGCTGGATCTTGAAAGCAAAGTATCAATTGTTGATGCCGAAGAAAAAATCATATCAAATTGACAGGTATAGATACTTCAAAAGCATCAGCTCAATCACTCAATGCCATGTTAGGCAATGATCTGAAAAAGCTTAAGATAAGTTTCGTGACTCCTAGATAGTTCGAATCAATCTCTGATAAGAAACAAAGTATAAGAATACCTTTTGCCAGACACTGCTCGAATATCCAAATCCATCGACATATAATGTCGACCGACGTATACTTGCTATTAGTTCCATAAACCAAAAGAAGAAAAGAAACAGAAGATTTTCCTACGCTCATTATAGGTTGTACCATATGTATATTCAAAAGCGTCGAGTTATCCATGCTGGAAAACCAGCCTTCCAATTTAGCATGAGACTCTGTTTTATAGTAATTAGGAACAGGCAGCCCATTACTAAAAGGCAATGAAAAATCAACGAAGTTGTTTGATGCAGCATTATAAGTTACGCTAGGAATTACTGGAGTACAGTCTTCAGAGAAAAAAGCAATATTTGTGTCATTCAAACTGAATTTGCACTTCATTGTATCGAAACAAAATTCATCTTCTATTATCAGACTTTCCTTCCTACTTAGAGACGACTGAATAGTAGAAGCAGCTGGAATAGCACCAAGAATATGCATTCGAACAAACTCGTATCCATTAAGATCTGCAAGTATATAAAGATACATAGCAAATCTTTGCACCTGTTCATTATAGCGATATGCATGTTTTGAACGTGCCAAATTTTGTATGATTTTGCCAATCAGTACAGCCAAGAAAGACACACGGCTGTCATTATCATTATTATCTTTTGCTAGATATAGAGTTTAATAAGTATTTTCAGTAGAGGATGATTAAGAAGAAGCTCTTGAGAAATCATAAGATTATCAGGTTGACGATCAGTCGATATTGGTTGTAGCAGCTTATCGTTTACATTTTGCAAAGCTTGTATAAACGAATCAATGCCCACACGAATATCAATTCTAATTTGGAATGTGGCATTTTGATGTTGAAAATCGACTCGTTTTTTAAGTGCAGTTAATTCGATAGAATCATAATTTAAAAAGTCAGATACATCATTGATACTTAATAAGCACTGTACAGATCTTATCTTCTGGAACTTGAACATTTCTTCGACAACAGTACCACATTTATCCCGCACGAGAACATAGAAGGCGTCATCCTAATACGACAGAATGTTATCGGACAGGACCATACGTTTCAATATACGAGTCACAAGACTTGATATTGATTAGAAAAAATCAATTTGGGAGTAAGTATAGTTATATAAGAAGATAAAGAGAATTCTTATTCACACTAACTAGAAAAATGAAAATTAATAGATGAAAGCTACAATGTATATAAAATGACATATACAAGCTGACTATTCATTCAATCGTTCTGTTCCCTGATAATTTTTCAGCTCTACTCTTAAATGAAAGAATAGATTGAGTAGTGTTTTCTATTCGCTACAGGTAAACCATTGCCAATATGAGTAATTATGTTATCTTTATTTCACAAAGTATGTTTGACTTAGGATCATTTTTAGCTGCATCATCTTTATTAGAATTTACCCTATAAAGTTTTCTTTAACTATGAATAAACTAATAATGTGCAATTACAATAAAATCAAATATAAAAGACAACAATTATATATAGATAGTTCATAAATGAACAATAACATAAAAATAACATAAAAAGTCAATTTAACAAAATATGTTTACATAAATGAATCTTTTATTCAAAGGACCTGGGTCGACAACACTGTAAAAAATGGGCGTAGAATAATAAACCCTCAAAAAGGGTTTATGACCACGGCATAAACCCTTTTTAGGTTGATGGACGTAATCTACTCTCTAAAAAACCCTTTTTTTTTTCATAAACCTTGGCAAGGGTTTGTTATACGTTGCAAATTCATATACCCTTGTACTGTTTCCTGTGTTCATAAACCCTTGTTGAGTATATGAACGCAATAAATCCTTAGACAAAGGGTCTGTTATGCTACATTTTAAAGAGAACCGTAGAATAATAAACCCTTCGTCTAAGGATTTATGAACACAGAAAAAAGTACAAGGGTATATGCGTTTGCAACGTATAGCAAACCCTTGTCAAGGTTTATGAAAAAAAAGGGTTAATGAGAGGGTAGATTACGTCCATCAACCTAAAAAGGGTTTATGCCGTGTTCATAAACCCTTTTTGAGGGTTTATTATTCTGCGCTCATTTTTTATAGTGAACGCCATCTTTCTCCCCAACCAATTTTAAGAAAAACCTGGTAGTCATAACAAATCGACTATGGGCTACAACATGGAGATAGTTATTCACTTTAGTTTGACATCAAGGTTTTTGACACTTGTACCCCCGCCCCCTCAGGTTTTCGGGAAACATAGTTTTTTTTTCGAGTCAAATACATATAGTGATATAGAGTGGATAATGCTGATTACGAATATCACCTTAGTTTTTACTTAAGTCCCTTTAGTAAATTATACAGCAAAAATTTTCATAATTTTCATTTGGACCAAAGCCTCATCGAAAAAAGGGTTTTCCAGCCGTATCCAATTATTTATAGTTGTTTGGATACTTTAAAACAGATTCTGTATATAGATAATTAAATATTCTCTATTGAATGATACAACAATAAGAACATTTCAATGTAATCAGATAAAAGATAGAATTAATTTAGGTACTCAATCATGATCAACAAAGATGTATATCTCTCTTTGGAATCCATACCACTGTATACCCAGACGTGGTTACCTTCTGAAATTAGTTTAGAAATATGTAGTTTTTCATTCTCTATTTGAATATGCCCTTAAAAAATCAAGAAAAAGTTGTTCTTCATTCTGAAAATACAATATTATTGCAAAAACTCACCATTTTTTCTTAGTATTTTCTGATTATCTTTCGTTTTTTATTTATTTTCTTCCATAGTTTCAATTTTCTTTTCGAGTTTATTTTATTGCACATTGGAAATGCTGTAATGATTGTAAATTTGATCTCATCTATTATGAATAAGAAAGGTCACATATTTAAGTTTTGAATATTTGCCGGTCAAAAGGTCAATCGTTATATTAATGTGACGAAAGTTAAAATAGAAGAAAAACACTGCTCATAACGTTGAAATGTGTTGTGTATTCCTATTTAATTCTCTCTCTCTCTCTTGATTTTGTCTTTTTCTTGAACTCCTCTCTTCACATTCTATTTGTTTCATTTTATCTTTATATTCACGAAAGTAATCTTTTATTTAATCAAGAATGTATTTTTGATTAACTGATCATTTTTTTCTAAGTTATTTTATGAGTCAATATTGAAATGCCATCATCTTGTAAAGAAAAAAACTTACGGTGTTCGTTATGTGAAGGAGTTATTCGAAAAGACGCGAAAATCGCAAAGTTTGAGTATGAAAATGACTGGTGTAAATATGTTGTTGAAAAGAAATTGATTTCACTTTGTATTCATACTATTGTGGTACATGAATTTCGAAGGAAATTAGAACATTTGCAGGCGAATCAGATAATGAAACACAAGACAACACAATGCACGAGGTCGGTACTCATACAGAACTTGCCGAAATTCTTCAAGATTCACAACAATCTCAGTCAACAACAACATTTACTAATGGAGAACATGAATTATCGTCAAAAAATTCAACGAATCATTTGTTAACTACCATGGTTTCTTCTCAAGAGAAATTTATCGAATTACCGTTGCAGCGTCTTCCATCGTCGAAAAGTCGGTGCTGTGTTTGCCACGACTATTTTTTGAAGATCAAGACGCGATGTTCAGAAATCAACCAATCCACACGTTCTAACATGCTTCTTACTTACAATATTATTGTTTCAGACGGTAGTACTTGCTGTTCAAAACATTTACAAGACGACGAATTCAAAGAAGATGCTATAGAATTGATGAAAAAAATCCAGCAATATTATAATGTGACTATCGACGAACTTATGCAATCATTAACAGATCTTAAAATCTCATTTGCACGGCTTAAATCTTTATTGTCGAAAACATTATATCGTCCAGCTATCAATTTTGACGATACTCAAATGATGTCGGACCAATATTTCATTCTTACTGGTATATCAAAAGAGAGTTTCGATAATCTTTGTTCTCATATTTCGGCTACGAGACTCAGGCAATCAGGTTTACGATCGACTCGTCAGTCTATCGGGTGTCTACTTGTTAAGTTGAGACTGGGAGTTAGTAATCAGACTTTGGCTACATTACTCTGTTTATTCGATAGGCGAATAGTCAGTCGAGTTGTTGATAGTGCACACACGGCTCTGATGCAACATTTTGTTCCAAGATATTTGGGATTTGATTATTTGAGCAGACGTGATCTTATATATAATCATACACGACCAATTGCTAAACGTCTTTTTACTCAGCCGGGAGAGGATGAAGCAATCTTCATTCTCGATGAAACATATTTGTACGTTCAAAAAAGTAGTAACAATCTTTTACAACGTCGAACATATTCGTTGCACAAAGGACAGGCTCTTATCAAGCCCATAATGTTTGTTTCCACACATGGTTACATCATTTCAACGATTGGACCATATCTTGCAGATTGAAAGAATAATGATGTAGCCATGACCAAACACATTTTCTTGACAAATAGTGAGGGCATCAATGATTGGTTCTAGCCAAATGATTTGCTAATTGTCGATCGAGATTTCCGAGATTGTCTGGAATTTCTTGAAAAATATGCCATAAAGACGAAAATGCCTGCATTCCTGAACAAGAAAGAAAAAGTTTTTTCAACTCGTGAAGCTAATGAGAATCGATTTATTACGAAAATCAGATGCACCGTGAAAAGTGCGAATGGACGTGTTAAAACATAGCGATTATTCGATCGTGCATTGCAAAATTCTATGATACCAATTGCCGGCGATCTTTTTTCCATTGTTTGTGCATTAATTAATGCATATCGACCGCTTTTCATACAAGATGTGTCAAAGGATGATGAGGTTACTGATGCAATGATAGAGCGTATTCATGAAAGCAATAAGCTAAAGGATTATGTTACAAGGATGAAATGTTCCAGTCATACTCGTCTGAAATGTGTAGTCATCAATGCTAACGATGCTATTCGAAATTTTCCTCGACTATCATTGAAACAATTGAATAGTATTACATTGGGAATATACCAATTACAACAAGCACGGTGTTACACAATAGATCATCTTTGTCAAAATAAAGCCTACACGGTTAAAGCGGCCAAACAACGACCAGATCTATTACGAGCACAAATTTAATCACGCCATCGGCAAACAGTTTTATACGACATCTTTATCCGGTGTAACAACGCGTCAATTCTAGCATGGTATTGCACATGCCGTTCGGGTAGTCATGTTATTGGCTATTGCACACATATATATCTTCAGTGTTGTGGTATTTATCTATTGCACGCTATGATTCTAAGCTACTATAGCAACGATCAGCTTCTTATATTGATCATTTAAAAGATGCTCAAGATTGCTCTGACGTTTCGAGTAGCGATAGTGACGATAGTGATGAAGACAACAACTGTAATTGTGGTATATTCTCTCGTATAAAGTTCTGCAAGTATTTCAAGTTTTCTTTTTGCATATTAAAATACTCTCAGATTTTTGTGACTTGACTTTGAACAAAGGCTAAAACTATTTTTGAAATAATTTAGATATTATTCATTATTATAGCGAACATTGACAATTTTCACTTGATGAACATCATTTTTTTAAATTTCTCATTTCGATGATATTATAGGTTTTTTTCAGTTTCATCTTTTTAATTGTACATATATACGTCTATATAAAGATTTTTTAACTAATAAACGATCCTGAACTTTATTTTTTCATTTATCATTCAATAAATTTCGTGTATATAATAAATAACAACTTTTGATCTCTTTTTTTGTATTTATCGCATAATAAAAGTTTCTAGTATCTACTATTTCATTTAACCAAAAGCTTTGAAAGAGTTTAGGGACGGACACGAAGACGAATTTCAATGTGCAATCAAATAAACTCGAAAAAAAATTGAAATTATGAAAGAAAATAAATAAAAAACGAAAGATAATCAGAAAATACTAAGAAAAAAGGGTGAGTTTTTGCAATAATATTGTATTTTCAGAGTGAAGAACAACTTTTTCTTGATTTTTTTAAGGGCATATTCAAATAGAGAATGAAAAACTACATATTTCTAGACTGATTTCAGAAGGCAACCATGTCTGGGTATCCAGTGATATGGATTCCAAAGAGAGATATACATCATTGTTGATCATGATTGAGTACCTAAATTAATTATATCTTTTATCTGAATACATTTAGATGTTCTTATTATTGTATCATTCAATAGAGAATATTTAATTATCTATAGACAGAATCTGTTTTAAAGTATCCAGACAACTATAAATAATTGGATACGGCTGGAAAACCCTTTTTTTCGATGCGGCTTTGGTCCAAATGAAAATTATGAAAATTTTTGCTGTATAATTTACTAGAGGGGCTCAAGTAAAAACTAAGGTGATATTCGTAATCAGCATTATCCACTCTATATCACTATATGTATTTGGCTCGAAAAAAAATTTTTTTTTCCTGAAAACCTGAGGGAACGGATACAGGTATCAAAAACCTTGATGTCAAACTAAAGTGAATAACTATCTCCATGTTGTAGCCCATAGTCGATTTGTTATGACTATTAGGTTTTTCTTAAAAATCTTTTGGGGAGAAAGATGGCGTTATCGGCCCAGATCCTTTAGAGAAAAAGATAGAAAATAAACACAAGAACAGAAAATATCCGTTTAAACTCTGATACGTTTACAATTAAATAAAACTTATTTCTTATTTTTATTGAATAAAGATAATATTACTAATTTTGATAAAATATAAGTACAATATAATACTTAAAATGGTATTGTATGTACATTCTCAAACTGATATAAAAAGTAGCTAATAAAAATTTCTCACTAATATAAGGGTCCATGCGTGGATATCCAACCAGTTTTCGGTAAAAATTTTTTTTATCGAATTCTTTCTGCTGGTTAGGTGTACAGTACTTAGAAAATAGATATGATCAAAAAAACATTTAGGAATTCTATCTGAAATACGGAAGATTCAGGTTGTTTTCTAATAACATCTAAGGAGGAGAAGAAAAGCGTTTTGGCCAAAATAATGTTGAAGTCGTGCTGCTTAAAAATTTTATATCTCGGTCATTATAGATTGAAAAAAAAAGAATCCTTTGAAAATTGTACTAATCTAAAATGCCTCCTACGTTTGGGCAAAATATGAGCTTTAAGCATTGTAATAACTTGATTGCTCATTTTCCTCCTTAGATATTTCCTAGAAAACGACCTAAATCTTTGGTATTTCAAGTAGGAGGCATAAATTTTGTTTTTGGTCAAATCTATTTTCTATGCACTGTACGCCTAACCATCACAAACTTTTGTCATTTCGACGATTTTAATCTTTTTGTTGATGTTAATAATGAAATAGATTTACTAGGTATTGTTGTTAGTTCTATTGTGATATATTTTATTGGTATTCTATATCAACATTTTGAATATGGTGATCGATTATTCTATGCATATCAAAATGAATTTACATCAAGTATGATTATTTGATACCTTCTAATGCTGCTATATCCTAACTGTGATTTAGATTAATTATATTTAATCAAGAAATATTCATAGAATTATTTTATTTGTCATTCAACATGTATTGAACAAGTTTCTCAAAATTCATTTCGACCGACAGATAATATAAGGTAAGTGTTGTTGAATTTGAATTAAAGATTACTGTTATGTTTTTGTATTCTAGTAATCTATTACACATGTTCTATGTTTTTGACTTATCTTCATAGTGTATTTTAATTTATGCTTAACTTTCTGTTTTTATTTGATTTGTTATGCATGACAACAGTTTATGTTGAATTTTATTATTTTACAGAAAAAAAAAATAAATGAAAGAAAAAAAAAGTGAATCAATAATTTGTTTTCTTTTTTCTCTTATGTTTTACGACGAGTTGAATGACGATAAACAATAACTTGTATATATTTATCCGATTTAATTTCTTTTCGGCTAGTGTTATCACCATATGATAGAGCTTTTGGATCAACAATAATTATTTTTCTATCTCGTTTACTTTTAAATAATAGACCATCAAGATGATTTGTTATTAATTGAAAATTAGGTGTATTATTTGAACAACATATTTGATTTTCCCAATTATAATAACTAAAAATAAAATTATTGAAATTTTCTTTTTGAAAGTCTACCCATACTCTCAAGAATCGATTTTAGACCACGAACATTTAGATCATATGAAATTCTCAGAACATGCTGCAGCTGTAACGAAAAACTTATAGTGAAAATTTCCAGCTTGATATCAGGGCTCAAAATGAACTGCCTGATCCATATTTTATTTCTTTTTTAAGAAAGATTTTTATCTAAGTTTCTTACATGGACTTTTGCACCTTGCAACTCATAACAATCAGCAATGTTTATTATGTGAACGTTTTGCAAGTTCCATTTAGCCAAAAAGTACAAGTATAGCATTTACTCAGTTCAATGGCACTTCTCATCTACACATACGACCGAGTACATTATCAACTGTATGAAGTAGCATGAGTGTTCCGGCTGTAACAAAATGCTAACTGTGTACTAAAATTACCATATTTACTCAAAATAGTAACTGATCTGACTTTCTAACATTGTTCAGCGCACTATTGACTCATGAAAACTCATGTTAATGAATGAGTCTTCAAGAAGTTGGAGTATCCACGAACGCATCTTGATCTTTTGGTTCACACAAGTGATTCATCTTATTTCTCATACTATTTTTTTAAGCATTACAATTGTCTGACCTTATTCAACTTGTGACTATGTGATGATAAACTTGTTATCATGTTCTAATAAACTACAGCAGTTACGATGTAGTTACATTGTGTAGAAATGTTTTTTGTAAAAGAAATATACTTTTAATAGTGCTACTCAGAGTTAAGTCGGATCGGACCATCAAAACGTGACTCGATTTCAAATTTTGCTGTTGCTGACCTTTGTTTGATGAATGTCGAGAGGAAAATTTCATATGATTAGAATTTTCATGATCCAAAATAGATTTTGTCTGTGAATCTTGAAAGAAAAAAAAGAATTTATTTCTTTACCTAAGATCAGTTGGTTTAGGTATTAATTTTTTCTTGCCAGCAAAATATACTTCAAAATCTTCAGATTTTAATCGATGTGCATAGTCTATATAACCAGATATTTCTTGTTGTCGAGAATTTCGATCACGAATAAAAATAATTGTCTACGATAAACATAATTAATTAGATAGAGAGTTAAATAAAATAACTTACTGTCATTTTTCCTGTTCGATTAGCTTCTTCAGTGTCAGCAAGTTCGCGTAATAATGGTTCAGTTATTTCTTTATTTGCACTGGCTAATTTTCTGTAAACATGAAAATAGAATATAAATAAAAAACTATTCTGAAGACGAAATTTATAAAGACTCTATTGATATATGAACGGCTGCTATAACTGATGACGAAGTGACCTATATAAATTGTATTTAATGAAAAACCATACGAAAAGATTTTTTGAAACTATTTTTAAGTAATTTTGACGAACATACGAATTCAAAATCAATATGATCCAAAAGAAAAATGCTTCAAAACAATATACAATATTTATAAATAAGATAAATGCTAATGTGTAAGTCTGAATGACTATAACATATGATTGAATATCTTCATCGTCATACTCACAATTTGAGAAAAACTGCATTTTAAAAATACTCTAAGAAACACTTGTTAAATACTTTCATTATTAAAATAACTTTTGTTGAGTACATCAATTAACTGAGCATATTTTTTTTGTACATGACAATACAAAGCGAAGGCTATAAAATCTATTGTAGTTTTTGAAAGAAAACATACGGTGCTTGAATACGTCGTGAAAGAAGTAATTGTTCCGCAGCTGCTTTTCGAGCATAAAAGTCTTCTCGTTTAATTACTTCTCCACTACCACGATAGCCAAGTTCAACAAGTTGTCGAGCTAATTCTTCATCCTAATATGTAAAATAAATTATCAAATTTCTTGTTTTCTTTGTTTTTGATTGAATATCTCATTTGTATACCTCAAGATAACTTAGATCTAAACGAGTAACTTGTGAATCAAGAAATTCTTCATATGTTGAATATTTCATAACAATATCAACAGCTGCTGGTGAATCGTCTTCCATTATGAAAAACTAATAAACAGAATAATAAAGTTGATCTAAAAAGATCATTATTTAAGTCTAATGATTCATAAGAAAACAAGATTTTATTTATAATATGTTTCAGATAGTTTTACTTGTATGATACTTTCAACCACAACATTTAAAGTAATGTTGCTATGGAGATTACTATATGAATGAATATTGTTTCAAAAGTTTTTATTTAATAAATTGATTGTTTTTTTTTGTTTTTGAATTAAGAAATAGAAAAATAATATATAAAATATTATAATATTAATAATAAAATAAAAGCGTCCTCTGCCTTATTTTTCTTCCAATGGTCAGACATTCATAATGAATGTATTAAGAAAATGCATTGCCGTGTTACAAAAGATCATGTTTATTTGAACTGCAAATATCCATTCTTTTATTTTTTTTTGTCATGTTCAAAACTTAAATATTATAAAATTTTTTTTTTTATTGTGTTCTTTTATTCAAGACTTATTTGATTGTGTTTGTCGTCATATAGTTATCAGGTCTTAGTGCCTATCCCAACCCAATATTCCCCTGAAAAAAAAAAACGAAGCAAGATGACATCGCCTGATGATGATTATGGCCAAGCATCAAATAATGACAATCATAATAGTATTAGTATAACAGGTGGAAATCGACGTATGAACAGCAATAGCAGTAATCCTTATTCATCATCATCAACCGGTATTGAAATACGTATATTAATGACTTCTCGTGATGCTGGAGCTGTTATAGGTATGTATGATTAAATAATGAATTTCTTTCTATTTATTTGTTTCTTCTTTTATAGGTAAAGGTGGTTCATCAATACAAAAACTTCGTGCTGATCATCCACGTACAATAATTCAAGTACCTGATTGTGCATCACCTGAACGTGTATTAATTATAAATGGCGAACATGATCAATGTTTTGATGCTTTACAACAAATAATTCCAGTTTTAAGTGATAGTTCACGTCTTTCATCATTTAATCGACGACGTAATATGAATACAAGTGGAACAGGAGGAAATTCGGATCAAAATCCACCAAATAATGATAACCAAATAACAGGTGATATACCATCAGAAATTCGCATACTTGTTTATCAAATTTATTGTGGAGCTATTATTGGTAAAGGTGGACAACATGTTAAAGAATTACGACAAACATATAATCTTGATATAAAAGTATTTTCATTATGTTGCCCATTAAGTCATGAAAGAGTTATTTCATTACGCGGAAAAATTGATGATATTATCGAATGTATTAAAGTATGAGTAGAGTGAAAAACAAATTACAAACGATAATAATATTTAGTTTTTGCTTCTTGTTTTTTTTTCTTTTCTTAGCACATCTATTCATTGATGAGTTCATCATCACAGCAACCAAGAGGGTCACTATTAATTCAATATGATCCACATAATTTTGATATTTATACTGTGAACGAATATGGTTAGACTTTTTTTTGTTTTCAAAATTAATTATTTAATTAAATTTTAATATAGGCGGTTTTCCACCTCCAGGTGGTATTGATAATCGTGTTGGATATAATCCACGAGGACCATATCCACCGGGTGGACCACGTGGTGGTATGTATCCTATGCAATCTTTACCTCCTCTTGTCGATGTACCGTATGGTGGTGGACCAGGTTTAGGTCCTCGATGTCCTCCTAATCCTGTTTTACTCACATCAACACGTGTAAGTTATCTGATTGATTCTTTTTATTTTTTATTTTTTTTGAATATCTTTTTGTAGGTAACTTTACCAAATGAACTTGTGGGCGCAATTATTGGTCCACGTGGTGCAAAAATTCAACAAATACGTCAGGCAACTAATGCGAATATTATAATTGATGATCAACCGATTCCCACTGGTACAGGTGGTGGTGATCGAATAATAACAATTGAAGGAACACCAGAACAGATTAGTCGTGCACAAGCGCTTCTTCAACAAGCTGTTCGTCAATCTGGTCTTTGGCGACCATGATTACTGTTGTTGATGTTTTCTTTTTTCACACTTACACATGCACCAAATTTTCAAACATTGTTTCTTTTTTCTTTCTCATCAGTTTTTCTTTGTTTGTTTCTGTATGTGTGTGCGTGTTGCTTTTGTTTTTGGTCCTTTATTCATTTTGTGTATACAGTAGGACGTTGATCGATATGACGTTTCTTTTTCTTGTCATTCGTCTCGCGTGTGTGTGTGTGTGTGCTTTTCTTTTTTTTTCTTCTCTCGGTTTTATATAGAATTTCACTCAGATTCATAACAAATGATTTTTTTTTGTTTTCGTTTTTTTTTATTTCGTTTACGTGATGATAAAACAAAAAAAAAAACTAGGATAGAAATGGATTTGTGAGAATAGTTTAAAGATTCTTACGAAAAAAAACTAATATGAGAGAAAAATTTATCTTATAAATTCTTTTATGAATGTTTAAATATTATATTTATTTGTATTATTTTACAATATGAATTGTATCGTTATATATTATGATGAAATTCGTCTCATTAGTTTACAGAATATAAGATGGTTAAGGTATTTAGTATTTATATATATATATATATATATTTGTTAACCATATTGATTGAATCAAAAATATTTAAAACTTATATTTTTTTTTAAATGTTGTAATAGCATGTCATATTATTCACATATTGGCATGTTTGAAAATATAATCATTAAGATGAAGTATTTAATTTTGTTATTCTCATTTCCTATTCATATAAAATTTCAATATGGTAATTTCAATAAGAGGAAAAAAAAATTATGTTAGATTGAATTTTCTTATCATTGAAATAAGAAAATTACTTTTAAATGTATTAAAGAATTCTTTGTAAATTAATAAAAATATATATTAGCTGCTTGAATTTAAGACAAACTGTCAACATGAAATCTAAATTATTTGATTGAATATTCAACAAGTAAGAAGCTAAATCCTACGAGTATCAAAAACAAATTGTTTTTCAATTCATTGAACCATTTGATGAAAATTTCTATCAGCATATATGCAAAGATGTCAAATGTTTTTTGTCTGTAAACTGAAACATCAAGCTCTATGGAACATAAGTATAAACTGATGAATTCTAGTCAAACTATTTATTGATTATATATTAGTTTATTTAGTAAATAAAGAAAAGACCACAAACTTAAATAACATTTATTAGATAAACAAAAACATCATGACATTGATATAAGACTTGTTTATTTCAAACATATTCAAAACAATAGCTCACAATACAAAAGACTATTCGAAACGAATGAATGATTTATGATAAAAAAAATATTTTACTTAGTACATCAAAAATATGTCCTTATTTATCTTTAACTGATGAAATATTGTCTACAATGCATTTCATCACGTTCTTTTTTTAATTGAGATATTTGTGTTTATGAAAATTTTTCTTGCCCATTCGAATTCATAAACACATGAGTATGAGTCAAATAAAATAATAAAAAGATTGTCTTATTCTGTTCCTTTTTCATTATATATTTTATGATGAAATCTAGTTGATACAGTTATATTTGAGAGGAAATAATCAATTATGTTATATACATCTATATTTTTTTAAACTAATTTGATTTTAGGTTTTTGTCATACAAGTAATATCATTGATAAATGTAATCGATTATTATGATTATACATAAAACGTGTGAAACAAAACACATATACTGCTGATATACCTCCTTCATAATATTGTCCTTCACGCTTGATTGATTGTTTCTACATAGAGAAACTTTTTTTACCACAATCGCTGTGAGACGATTTATTGTAAAACAAGGTTACAATTGCATCTGTGACAAAACTACGACAATAAATAAAAACAAAACCAAAAACATAATAAAGTGTAATATCATCTGGCTATTTATCATAGAATCGTTAAATAATGTATTATCAACTGACTCAACTTTTAATAATAGGATTTTATATTATTCATTTTATTGAATCAAGTTTTATATATAACATAACACATGCTAATAAAATTCTATGTTATTCATGTAAAGGTAACGGTTGTGAAACAATTTCAAATGAAGATGATAATGTGATTGCATGCAATAGAAATACACAATTATGTTGGGTAAAAATTGATTATGTAAATTTTTGAAAAATTCAATTTTTTTTTAAAGGCTGGTTTTGTTAATCATAAACCTTATCGAACATGTGCAAGTCGTTATTGTACACCAGCCGATATTTCACTTGATAGTGATGTTCGTATTGAAACATGTTGCCATGCAAATTTATGCAATTCTATTTCACGTAAATATAACAATCAAAAATGATTTCTATTTTGTATCTTGTCCTAATTTCTTTTATTTATTCAATTAGTTCCTGGGTCAATAGGAAGTGAACGGCATATGAAAAGTTCAGCTCACCATTCCAAGACTTCAACTGTTAGTAGTCCAGTAACTACTACCGAACGAACAACAACAAAATCAAAAACAACTACTAAAGCACAAGAAATTTATGTTGTGAATGAAATAGTGGATAATGAAGAAAAAGTACCTTCATCTTTAAACAATAATGAAGAAGATGATGATTTAAAACATTCTCAATCAAATTCACATAGAAGTCAAGCAGTTAATTCTGTAATTAATTGGGAACCTGTACATTACGATAAAGACTTCAGTAATCGTGTTGCATCAATAAGTAAACTTTTAATTCTTATCATACCAGTTTTATTAGTTTTAATATTCTAAATAAATTATTTCTATCTTCTTTTGGATTCATATATCTATATTTTTAGTTACAACATTTGCATGATTTAGGTGTTTTTGTTTTTTGATAGCTAGAAATACCATGAAGAATATTTTATTTTTAATGAAAGTTTTTTTTTGTCAAGAATAGTTTATTGAATAATATTCAACGGAAAAGAATTAATATATTGAAGTTGACGCGGAAAACGTTCAAAACTGTTAAATCGCTTTTGACTTGAAGCTACTATCATTTGATTAATGAAAACAGTTTGTTTTGATTTGATTTTTCGGTCTTCGCCTATCAAGCTATGGGCGTTTTATTTCATTTTTTACCTTTAGTATAGAATCGTTTGGGACCTGAATGACCAAATATTGAGCTGAAAATTTGTTCATGGGTAAGATTTTATAGTCACCGGAAACTCTTCAAATTTTCAACAAGAACTAATATTTATCGGTCAAGATTTTTACATTTTAAAGACAAAACTTGTTCTGGAGTGTATTCCAAAAGAAGAATATTTTCTTATCAAATCGATATTTCGATAAGGATACGCTAACCTTAGTTCAAACTTTGAAGAGTTTTCTAGACTCTGTGATTCTATGCTCATCGAATTAACGCTCATAACTCAACAAACAAAGATCGAGAAACCAAATCAAAACAGATCTTTTTTTTAATTATTCATCAAGATCAATCGAATAGCAATAATTTCAAGTGAAAAGAAATTGAGCAGTTGAGAACGTTGCCTATTAAGTTTGTCTATTGACATAAGAACTTAGATAAACAATCAATCACCTTGAAAAAAATACTAGATGAATTAAACAATCTTTATGGTCAACGTTATGAACTATAATTAATTTTTTCTAAATAAATATATTATGTATAGACTTGGATTTATTTCAACAGAAACGGAAGTAAATTACTATTCATCAAATTTAATTACCCTTATTTTAAAATTTTTGTTGACTCTATATGAAATATTGGTATTATTTTACACACATTGTGATAATACCATGGGCACCTTGATAAAAAAAAAATTACATGTAGTTATTTGAGTAGAATTCAATAGATAAAGATTTGATTTTGCTCATTTATTCTCAAATATGTATTCAAAGTTTAATGTAAACGAACATATGTTGTTTTTTTTTTGAATTCAAGTTTCTATACTCTGATATTGAATGTTTCTTAAATGGGTTTCTCTAGAAAACCTACACGAAAATAAAATAAATGATTGTCAAGATAATAAATAAAATCCAAGCCACAAGTGGATACATTAAAGATTTTGAACAAATCATTTTCTTTACTACTGACTGCTGACTATGAATTATTGATAACGATGTACGAGGACTAGTCTTATTTATTGATTGTTGTATTAATGATGATGGTGATGATACTTTATCGATAGAAGCCATTAATTATAAGTAAAATTTTTATGATTTAAATTTTTATTTGAAGACATTCAAAGAATGATCAATTTGTTTTTTCAATAGTAAAAAGACTATTAGTTTTATCAGACCCAATATTTGTTCATTTGTTACTAAGGAAACGTATAGATGTCATGTTTTACAAAAAAAAAAATGGAACTTTGTAAAACATGTTGTCTTAGAGATATTAATAGAAAATGGCATTGAAAAGAAAAAGAAAAGAAGTTTAAATTTGGAAAATAAAATAACAGAAGAAGTTTCCATGACAATATGCGTTTAAATGAAAGATATATTTGGTGGAGAGAAGCTTTGTGGTTTACATACTGACATTAGAGAAGTGGATAAGTGAGTGTTTAATTGAAATATTACTCACTGGTTCTTAAAATGATTCAATTTCGAATAAATTCAATTTTCTCTAATGAACTTTTCATTTTAAAATAAAAAAACAAAAAAATGTATTTTCTTCCGTCTCTTTTTCAAGAATTGAAGCAAGCCAAGTGCCTTTTTTTTTCGTTAATGTAAACAACATTTGTCAATTAGATTCTTTTTTTTTTTCAGAGCGATGGAAATTGAAATGAATGATCGTGGAAGCCCTGATGGTCGACATTCTGAATCCATTTCGTCGCCTACAATGTCACACGATTCAGCATTGCCAGCGACACCACCATTACAAGATGCTGATCTTGATGATGATGATGATGATGATGATGATGATGATGACGAGACAATAATATTATCTCCGTCACGTTCTAAAAGTACTGACGGTCGCGTAAGTCGAGTAAACTCAGCATCAAAACCTTTTACAACAACTACTACAAGTGTTGATCGTTTAAAACATGGTATACGTTATATAACTGATGGATTTATACGTAAAATTACTAAACAAAATAATGTTACTCGTATTCATTCACTCAACTTTAATAATTTACGTGATAAAAAAATTCGCTATATAGAAAATCTTCAGACATTAGTTAATTTAGAAAATCTTGATTTATCAAATAATCTTATTGAAAAAATAGATGGTTTGAAAACATTAAAAAAACTTAAATCTTTATCATTAGCTAATAATTTTATTAATACAATAGTTAATCTTGAAGATTTATCACGATTAGAAAATCTTGATCTTCATCAAAATCAAATACATACAATTCCAATATGGTTTGGAAAAAAATTAACATTATTAAAAGTTTTAAATTTATCAAATAATCAAATATCATCATTTGATCAAATAGCACGTTTACGTACATTATATGAATTACGTGAACTTCATCTTCAAGGAAACCCTATTGAACATAATGAAAATTATCGTTTACTTATTATATCATATGTACCAAGTTTACAAAGACTTGATGGAATTAATATTAGTGAAAATGAACGACAACAAGCTAAAGAACAGTAAAGATTATGAACGTTTAAATTATTATTATACAATTTTGTTTTATTTTAGATTTATCCAACAAGAAGTACAAAATTTACTTCATGAACTTGAACGTCGAGATAATGAATGTCGACGTTTAAGTACTCAAGCAACCAATAGTGAACAACAATTGGGAATAAAAAGTGATAAACTTCAATCACTTGAAAATAAAAGTTTAATGCAAGCGAAAGAAATTAAAGTGAGAGATTAAAGTCATTTGAATAAGAAACGTTTTTTTTCTCATCCAACTTCGAAAATTATTCTTCTCGTGAATTAGCGACAGCTTATATGTTCAAAGATATGATGCAATTTAATATTAGTGAACTATTACGAATTAAATCTGATTTGAGAGTATTGTAAACGAATACATAGATATTTTAGATTCTAGCGAGAAAAATTGAAATTAATTAAGATTTTGAATATCTTTGCGTATCTAAGATACTTGGAATTACTATTAAGATTTTGTCACGCGAAGGAATTATAAACTTAATAAGAAAAGAAAACGACTCTGTTAAATTAGTATGATAAAAAAAATCCACAAAATACAATTAAAGTTTTGGTATAATTGCTAGAAGTTATATTACATAAGACAACCAATGACAAAAGGTTTTCGAAGTTTCTATAATCTATATCAACTCTGACTCTGAAAAACAAAAACCAGATAGATTGAGATTCAGATTTTCGTGCAAGCGTCTACCAGAAGCTTCCAAAGTCATTCGACTAGGTTTATTTTCAACTTTTTCCACTACTGTCAACGCTAATAAAAATCCAAATAGTGATTTTTGTTGAGAAGTGTTGTTTGCAACAAGAATTTCTCAAAATGGAATTGATTCCTAGTTTTCTAAGGATAGGATCTCTGGAAACCCGAAATCCAAGTTTCTTCATATCCTGGTATTTGCGAATAGAGTTCTATTTGGATTACTCAGAATGATAGAACAAGCAATTCTCTACAAAATAAAGTATCTTCCAGATTTTTACGAGGTTTTTTTTGTCAACAGACATTAATCTTATAGAGGTTGTTTTTCTGCTATTACGTATTAAAACATAATTTTTGTGGCTTCCGTAAGATTAATGTATCCCCATCAAAAAACCTCATAGAACGTAGGGCGATGTTTCATTTTGTAGAGGATTGTTTGGTTTATCATTCTGCATAATTCAAACGGAATTCTGTTTGTGAATTTCAAGAGATGAAAAAATTCGCTTATGGTTTTTTTTTAGAGACCCTATCCTTGGAAAACTAGCAATCATTTTCATCTTTGAAAATAAAATTCTGAACAAACATCACTATTTTTACACGTATTAACGTTGACAACACTAGAAAACAATTGAAAATAAATCTCATCGAATAATTTTGGTAGCTACTGTATACGACAAAAAAATAGATTCCAGCTCGATTCTCTTTTAGTAAAAAAAAAAAAAAGAAAAATGAATTATTAAATGAATGCATTCGGTTAACAAGAAAAAAATGTACTTGAATAAAACATGACAAAACTGAATCATTTTTCGAAAAAAAAAAACAATTCATTCTCCAGTAAACTTCGCTATAAATATTATCAACAATCATCTTTCGATTATTTTTAATTCTATATTTTTCTTTCATTTCAATGAACATTAACTATAAGATAATTTGTATTACAGTTAAAGCGAACAGTAAAGGAGTTATTTCAATCGTCTGCAAAACATCTTTCTTGATACTCCGCTAACGAGGGAACATTTTGAACTGTCTAAGCACTTTTTGTTTGAAACTATTGCCATTCGATCGACCTTGATGTGTAGTGAAAAAAAGTCTGCCTATGGGCAAAAAATTCGATCATTCAGATTCTCAGTGGTTCTACGCTCATGGAACACAAGTCAACTAAAACGCCTTCATAATTTAATAAACGACGACCCAAATATCAAATCGAAACAGATTTTTCACTACTCATCATGACTGGTCGAATGGTAATCGTTTCAAGTAAAAGTAATGTTACAGTAAGAAATGTTCCTTCGTCAATAAATATGTACACTAGTGGTTAGATTTCATAAACCTTCAAATGATCTCTTATGTACTTAATTGCCGTGATATTTACCTCATGGTAACTAATATCGATCTTTTTTATTTCAACAACAATAATTCGGATTAAAGATGATTTCAAGTGTTTGAACCGCAACAAAAGACTTCTGTGGCTAGCTCCTATTGCTCATGGTTTGTTATTAAATTTTCATAGCTTTATATCAAACTTTGTTGATAAAAATTTTTATTGCATTGATAATTTCAACAAAGTTCTGATATTTTTCTTTCTTAAATATATAAGAAGATTGTAAATGCGCAGCATCTCAATGATATACCATTTCTATCAGAATTAACAAGACACTTAGCAACGTACAAAGCTCTCTGAACATTCATAACTGACTTGTAACATTTGGAAAAGTTCCTAAAGCAATTCATCTAGACTTTATTGATATATATTTATAAAGATTTTGTTTTAATTACAATTCTTTTCGAACGTTAAGAAAAGAATTTCGTTTTTATTTTTCTTAAAATTTTTTCTATATTCTAACAAGTTATTCAAAGTCATCGTTAATATGTTTATAATCGAAAACCACCATTTGGTAATTTAGATTGAACATAATAATTTTATTTTATAGAATATTCTTAGATAAATTTTGTATTCTATAGGAATAAATTATTAAACATATTGATATTGATTTTTATCTTCATCGATTTAAATGATTTCTACTTTTAATTTAGAATTTTTGTTTTTTTGATTGAATATTTCTTTTTATAATAAACATTTACTTTTTTAGGATTTACAAGATAGATTATCTGCTAGTGAAGAACTTCTTCAACGTAAAACATCATTACTTCATCAAGCATGTGAAAAACAATGTAAACTTGAACAAGAATTAGCTTTTTATAAAATCGATTTAAAATTCGATAGACTTGGTAAAGACATTTTGTTTTCAATAGATAATATTTCAAATATATCTTTTCTAGATTTTTCGAAACATTTAAATCGAAAAAGTAATTTAAAACAAAGGACTACAATGGATAGTCCTTTCACAACAATTAAATTTAATAATAATATAGAAGATGAAGAAGACATGAGATTAACAATGATTGATGAACAACAACAACAACGATCTATGAAGTAATGAAAAAAATTGATCTATATATATATATATGAATAAATGAGTAGCACAGTAATACTGTCCCATTTTTTGTAATCGACTGACGAGGGAACCTTTCGAAGTGATTCACTGCTTTTGAGCTCATATTTTGAACATATAGACAGGACCTCTAGACTAGAATAACCCTAAAGGGATTCGGGCCCATAGGCCTCCTCTACAGAGTTATAGCCATTTTACTTCAGTTTTAGCCTATGGCACGGTATGTACAAACAAATAAACTCACGATATTTCTACCTGAAATTTCGTCTACAGATAGGTCTACTTGTAATTAGAACGTCCTGAAAATTTCAGCTTAAAAGAATATTTCCTTCGCGAGATATTGAATGTCGAAAAAACGTGCGATTCTGGCATCTTTTATGGGATCTGAGTGATTTTTGAAAATTCAATATCTCGCGAAGGAAATATTCTTTTAAGCTGAAATTTTCAGGACGTTCTAATTACAAGTAGACCTATCTGTAGACGAAATTTCAGGTAGAAATATCGTGAGTTTATTTGTTTGTACATACCGTGCCATAGGCTAAAACTGAAGTAAAATGGCTATAACTCTGTAGAGGAGGCCTATGGGCCCGAATCCCTTTAGGGTTATTCTAGTCTAGAGGTCCTGCCTATATGTCCAAAATATGAGCTCAAAAGCGCTGAATCACTTCGAAAGGTTCCCTCGTGAGATCTCAGGAAAGACTCATTCAATAGAGAATTCAATTCTCTACAAAATCTACTATACGGAGTTTTCAGAGCTTAATTATCATCGAAACAGTATTCAAAAGCATGCATAGATGTGAATTTCAAAACTGTGTCATAACCGTTTCGTCTTGCTTGTAAACTCTTTAAGCTATCACTTCGAGTACACATATTTCAATATTTGTATATAATAGTCTACTAAATGTTGTCTTCTATCGATTTAAGTAATTTATAAGTTCACTAGCCGCTCTTAATAATGCACATATATACTCATAATTTGCAATTGAACCAACTTTTCTTTGCTGTTTTGTTGTGAAAAAAAAAAACATTACCTTTTTGGTTTTTAGTACGTACGCAAATTTTTTTTTTGTGTTGAAATGAAGAAAAAACGCAGAATTTAATTCTGAATAAGCTGACAGATCTATAATCCGAGATTTATTGAACTTTCTTTTTATTGGTACACAATAAAAAAAAACTGAAGAGTATAAAAGATGAGGTCATAAATATGAATTTTTTTCAAACTTATCATTGTTGTCAGATTCAAAAATTTTTCGAAAAAAAAAAAACACTTAAAGACCAAGTTGTGACAAAATACAGGTTTTTGTAATGGCGTTGACTTTCATAGAGGATGAACACTTGGCATGAAGAGAAAGTCATTCAAATTTTAAGCAGGTGTAGTTCTGAAATTCATATTTACACATATTATGAATACTATTCAAATAAATGCCATCGATTATATAAGATACCAAAAGAATTGATAATAAAACTCGCTCATTATTTTTGTTCCACCCATTATGTTGCTCTTCTTTTCTAGTACAATTCAATGGCAAACTGCTGAAGTTAAACGTATATTGGGAAGTGCTCGAGATGGAAAGTTTCTTCATGCTGGTATGATAAATATTTTTCGACTAATTTTTGATCTTTTTCTTTCTGTAAATTAAAAATTAAACAGAAGATGAAACAGTTCACAATGAAAAACTCTTACAATTAGCTTTTAATATGAATGAGCTAACATTTTTACAAGCTAAACAACAAGCCATTGAAGAACGTTTACAAATTGCAACACAAAAAAAAGAATCACATGCTGTGATTGAAGTATGCATTCTTTTTTTTTAATGAAGTATATAATAATCTTTTAAATCATTTTTCTCTTTTAAGCATCTTTCTGATGATCTTAATAATTTACAAACTGAAATGATGAATAAAATAAGTGATGTACAAGAACTTAAGCTTGTTCTCAATGGTCTTCGTGCTGATGAAGGACATGGTTTAGGCACTGATTTGGAACAAGTTAATATTGAATTGAACCTTGATGAAATAGTACGACAACATGTCATTAAACTTAAACAAGATTCAATCATACAACCACAAGAATATGATGTTGTTAATGAATCAAAATTTGAACAAGCACTTACTGAAGCTATTTCATTGTCAGGTATGAAAGTAATAACATTTTTTTTTTGATTTTTGCTTTCTTTTTTACTTTTTTTACATACGTTCTTTTTTCTTCTTTATGTTTGTATTCAAAACATTGTTTGATAATTGATTTTTTTTATAATATGTATTCGGTATTTGACGACTATTCTTTTCATTCCTACTGTTAACGAACATACACAACGATTGTGGTCGGAATTTTTTTTATATTTCGACGTGCGTACAATGTCAATGCCATTGTTTAATCGAAAGTGTGATTTTATCGAGCAATCCAATTCAATTTGATTCTATGTTTCATGTTCCATCTCCCTTATCTCATCATATCGCAATGATGCCCCTTCTCTTTTTCTCTCATCAACTTTTTTTTTTCCTCTTTTCACACATCAATACCAAAGTTCAATTAATAGGGTTATTCTTTACAACTGTATTGCATATGAAACATTGTTAGTAGTCTATAGAACAAGAAAAAAGAAAAAAAAGAAAGGTGCAGTTGGTTTGTCAATCAAGGTTTTCCTTTCTTTGTTCGATTTTACAAGTATGAAATCATATATATATATATGTGTAATATATGATTGATCAAAATATCTGAATTTTATTTAATGATTAGAGATTTTTTAAATCTATATTATTATTTTAGGTGTACCAATAGATGATCGATGTAGTGCAAAAGCAACATCATCTCGTATACAATTACTTGAATATAGTTTAGCTAATAATGTTGAACAACTTCGTACAAAAGAAATAAGTGAACAAGAAGCACAAAATAAAATAATCGAATTGCAAATAGCTCTTGAACGTGAACAAAATCAAGCTCGTGAACAGATTAATCAAATTGAAGAAATGGCTGAACGAGAAAAACAACGTATATTAAAACATCTTGAAGATGAAAAACGTTTTACACGTGATATTATTATTAAATCTGAAACAATGATTGAACAACTTAAACGTGAATTAAGTTCAGAACGTAAACATAAAACTGATGAAGAAAAAACTCGTGATGCCTTAAGAGATATTTATAAAAAAATTTCACCAAGTCCAGGTAAAACTTTATCAAAATCTACTAAAAATGGAACAAATATAAAAGATGATGATGATGATGATAATGATGAATCACGTTTAGATGGTGAAACAACTGTGTATCATAGAGATGATCCATTTTTAGCATCAACACCACGTGATCGCTCATTATTAAATGGAAGAAATGAAACTTCTGATTCGAATGCTCTTCGACGTCAACTTGAAGAACAACTTAAAGATGATCATGATGAATCATTATTAAATGATCAAAAATTAAAAACAAATTTAACAACAGGAACAGTTTATTCATGTTTACCCCCAACACCTAAACGACGAGCAAATACAAAACTTCATTCAAATGAATTATCTTCATCATTCAATAAAACACATCCAACAATAATTAAACTTGATCCAACATCGAATGGTGGAGGTAATTTGAATATTCAATTTTTAGTATAAACAATATCGTTAATATAATATACAAAAAATTCTACATACACATTGATTGAAAAAAAAAACCATAGGAATGTTCATCTGATCATGGTCAATATAATATAATGAGTTAAAAAAGAATACTAATATGACATTTCTACCTCTACGTTGTCGTAAGCGTGCGTACTTCTCCTTCTCTTCCTCTTTCTGGTACTTTTAGAGAATGATTCATCAGAAAATGTTGAAAAGTTTTAGAATAGATAGAACCCTATGAGTCGGACAAAAATCAGTGTTTAAACTCAAAGTTCCGGATGCTTTTTCGCAGAGTTGTAAAGGTTAAAATTGATACCTCCAACTTCAGGGTGTACATCATGTTTTGAAAAACTAACGGCATTCTGAAAACTTTCTAGTATAAGCAAAAGAAAGTTTCAGCTGCATCGGATATACTGTGATTGAGAATTGAGAGCGACTCTCCACTTTTTCTATCAAAAAACAGCGATAATTGTTCGACTTTCATAGTTATAATTGTCAATCAAGAAAGGAGGACTCCGCTGTAGTATGAGACGTAAATACTTTCAAGGTTATCGTATGTGTAGTAAGAACTTTTAGAAATAAATCTGTTCCAATTAGTGCTGATTCTCAGCTATTTCGATGTGCTCTCAAAGCCAATATGAAATGTAAATACCATTTATGAAACAGATAAAAATGCGAATATGATTAGCTTAGAGTTAAACACTTACCAAGGAATAAAGAGTAAATATCAGCGAATTGCAATTCTAAATTTCATTGTACAAAAAAGAAACTTCAAATTGATAGATTCATATCTACAATCCTACTAATTATGTTTTCATATTCTTCATTTTTATTAACACCATTTTACTCTTTATTCATAATTGAATATGCTACACGAAAATTTTTTTATATTAATCTTATTATTTTTTTTTTCGTGATAAAATAGATGTCGAATATATCTAATGAAAATGTACGTATAACTTTAATGAAGTTTTTGGGAACAGGAAAGAGCAAAACAAAAAGTTGCTAAATGTTGCTTTGCTGATGCTATGTTTATATGCTAATAATTAAAAAAAAGGCTATGAAATATGTTGAATTATTTTTTAGTAAAATTATTTTTTTTGATTTATTTTGAATAGATGAAGAAGAAAATGATTTACTCTATCGTCTTCATGGTTTTGTTAAAACTGGTCAAGTATATATGTCCGGTTTAGGTGATCTTGCACGTACAACAGTCAATGATTCAGGTTATTCAAGTCAACAAACAGGACGAGAAAATAATATTGAAAATGCTAAATTAGAATCTCTTCTATCCACTAAACCATTTCATACTTATAATAAATGTTTAATTGATCCTGAGCAATTCAATCGTGAATATACAGTTGGTGTTTTTACAACGAATACTGATCAACAACAACGTTATTATGATCAATCAAAAGTTGGCAATGTTACATTATATCCAACACCAGAAGGATATATGCTTGGACCACATTCTGTTACTGTTTCACCAGAAACATTTCCTATTTATGCTAATATGTCTCCAACACAATCATTAACACATACTGATTCTCAATTTTTTGCCTGTGTTAATATTCCACCTGATGGTCTATCATCAAATCGTCCATTACCAACATCACGACATAATCCAGATGAAGTACGTTTACAAGGACCAGTTATATTTCGTCAAGATACAATATTAAAATCAGAAAATGTTTCTCCTGTATCAGTTAAAATTCGTAGTTTAAAATATCCTCAAGTTGAAAAAAGTACAATGACTGATCCGGATACAATTCGTCGTGAAATAGATCGAACAACAGATGAAATTGATTATTTGAAATTAAAATTACAACATAAAGAAAATGATTTACAAAATAATGATCAATTACATTTATTAAAAGATTCATTAGAGCAACAAACAAGAGGTAAATAAAACCTTCGACACAAAAAGATCCACGATCTTCCATTCTATCCTATTGTTCATAAGTTACAAGAGAATCTTTAATTAGGTTCCTCAAAAAAAAGTCATATTATTTCAGTAGTCTTGTTGACAATTCTTAGTTTTATTTTTATTCTTGTCCAATACATCATTCGTAAATAAATTTACTTCCTTTAGTTCAATGAAATAGTTAATATCCAATGATAAGAAAAAGGGTGACAATCATTGGTAAGAAGATTGTTCCTTAGTGCAATACAATCAACATACCCTAAGATTTTGATACAATGTTTTTCGAAAGAATAAAATTCATCACTGGTAACGTTTAATCTTCTCAAAAATCAGCTACTTATGCTGAGGCTTGAATAGCTTAAAATGAAATTCATTCACTGAAATGTATACATGAATACGGTTATCTGTCAAGAAACAGTTTATAGAAAAACAGCTGGTGAACACACATTTTGTGTTTATTATGTCTATTCCAAAAATGCTAACAAAACTACTTGAATGGGGATATAAGGAAAACCCAGATTTCCAAACCAATTTCCTGGATTTCATTCGAAGCTTTTAAGAAAAAATTTTATTTGATAGAGCAAATAAGTTTGAACAAAATGAAATATCTTCGACCTCTCCATAACCTAACTTCATTGAATAGCATTCAATTTACAGAAGGTCAAAGAAATATTTTTCTCTTTTTTTTTATTGACAACTTCAATGAATTCTGCCATGTTTGACACTTTAGGACGTTCTGTAAATTGAATGCAGTTTGATGAAAGAAAGTCATGACATGGCCGGACACGAGTCGCCTTTCTAAGAACCATATGTTCTATCAAATAAAGTCTTTTCTCAAAAACTTTGAATAGCAGCAAGAAAGCTGATTTTGAGAGTCTTGATTTTCCGCATATGCTCAGTCAAGCAATTTTGTTGAAGCCTTCAAGTCTATCAATTTTGTTAGAGAGAATCCTTTCAGCTACAAAAATATGTTTTTTTTCAGATTTTCGCTAATTTTTATTATCGAAAAGAAAACTTAAAAATCCAGTTACTCTAAACTTTTGTCCACTACTATATTATGAGGATTCTTTTAGTGTATCAAAAGACTTAACTTCAATTTGTAATTGATTAATTTTTGTTTTTTTTCTTAAATTTATTATTTAGAAATTGAACGTGTTAAAATTCTTCATCAAGATTTATTAAATAGTGGTGATGATAATGAAGAAAATATACTTGATTTATCACAACAAATTCAACGTATACAACGAAATGTTCATGGACATTTACGTCCAACTCTCTTACGTCTAGTAGATGATACATCACAAATAAATACAGGAAAATTAATACCATTAACAAATGATGAGCATTGGATATGTAATGTTCCTCGACATGCTGATCTTGAACAAGTAATTGCTGATCTTGAAGTAAAAATAGATGAACAACGACGAGAATTAGCTGATTTAAAACATGAAAATCGTCGTTTAGAACGTTTATTAATTAAAAAAACTATGAAAATTGATGCACTTGATTTAGCTTCATCACGTAAACGATCACGATCAATTGCTGATTCAGCTGAAACAGATAGTGTTCAAGTAAAATGTCTTTATAACCAAAGAAAAATCATTTCTAAACTCTCTTTATTTTTATTTTCTTTTTACATAAGGATGATATTTTTGTTTTGGAACAACAACTTATTCGTAAACAACGTGAAATTACACTTGCACAAGAACAATTAAGACAAATGACATCATTATCTCAAAATGTAAATTAAACAAAAAGAAGTTTATTTTATTTATTTCTTGTTTTGATTAGGTTATTCATGACTTAAAAACAGCTCGTCAACGACATACAATAACTAAACGTGAAACTAGAGGACTTGAACAAAAAATCGAATTTTTAACTCGAAAATTATATAAATTAACAAATGATACGAAACAAGCTGAAGACCATTATGTAAAAGCAACAACTAATATTCAATTAATGAATAAAGAACAAGCTAAATTAGAAAAGGTTTTATCGATTAGAATTTTTTATTTTCTGAAATTTTTGCTTTCTGTTTTTTTTGTTAGGTAGTCGATGAAAAACGAGCATTATCAATTGTTCTTGATGAACAACTTCGTTCATCATTGAATTCATTTAATTCGCTTCTTAATTCATCTATTAAATGTTTACAAGAATTAACATCAGCTACAATAATAATAGATGATGAATTTCATTTTAATTCATTACCACCACCACCATTACAAATCAATGGAATATCATCAAATTTAGCACCAGATGAAATTCAACGACAAATTTCACATATTATTTCTGAAAATCATCGTATTCTTTCTCGTTATCATTCTATATTACAACAACAAAAACAAAAATCAACATTATTAAAAAATGAAATACAAGAAAAAGGAACAGTTTTAGCAAATGTTAAATCAGATTTAGATGCTTATAATGAACAATTAAGAAATAATGCTCAAGAACTTTTACAGGTAATTAAAAATCGTCAATAGTACAAAAGATAACTTTGAACAATAAAAAATCATACACGTGAATATTGTTTTACATTAGTAGAAATAAAAAAAAAATGAATAGAAGAACACGACTGAATCAATGAGATCGTTAGTTAAAATTCTGGACAATGTTAAATGATGTTGTTCAGGAATAAGCAAATATGAATGCGTATTTGCATTGGAAGAACTCGACTATCGTCGAGTCTTACTAATGAGAGAGATTTTTGGGGAAAAACGTGAATCTATACTTAGGTCATCCTCTTCTCCCATCAGTGTTTTAAATCAAAATGAATATACGTCAATAAAACATAGCTTGAAAGAAATACGAAAATTTTATTGACAGAACTCTCTCTCATTCGTATGTCGGTAAAATACATTTAATATTTGTCAGTGGCTAAATTTCTCTAGAAGATTGCTTATTAATTACCAAGTATTGGTCATCTCTATTAGTAGTAAAGATCATATTGAAAAGAAGAAATCACGGCACTCATGACAAAGTAATTCGATCAGTCAACTAATTAGTCAATCAATCTCTACAATTAAATTTCTTTCAAATAAACTCGTAAAATTCCTACAAAATTGCAGCACTGTTACGATTTTCATTATTAAAACTAGTTTTCAATCTAAACCTATTAGCATATTGAACTCATCTAATTCTACATTTTATCAAACAATATAGGACAAAAATGTTTTGGAAGAATTAGAACGTGTTAAAGAATTAAAATCCGATAAATTATCTGAACTTGAACGTCTTATTGAACGTCGTCAATCACAAGAAAAACAAGCTCAACAAGAATTAGAACAGTTAGCAAATGAACAACAACGTTTAAAAAAACAATATAAAGATATTTTATCTGAACATGATCAATTACAACATACAATTGAAGCTGATCGTCAAGTTTTAACTGAAATGAAAAATGAATCAACACGTTTACGTGAACAAATTAAATCATTTCTTGATGATAAAGAAACATTAGATGAAACATGTGATTTATTAGCTAAAAAATGTGAAGCTTTACATAATGAATGTAAAGAAAAAGAAAATAATCTTCCAATACTTATATCACAAATAGATGAAAAATTAAGTGTATGTAAAAATTTAGAAGATGAAATTAAGAAATTAAAAGTAGATAAAACTCGTTGTCTCGAAGAAGTTACTGAAATGAAAATTAAAATTGAAAAGAAACGTATTGAACTTGAACATTCACCTCATGATATTGAATTAGAATATCGTAATGAAGAATTAAAACAACGTATTAAACGTACTGAACAAGATTTAGATAGACTTAATGGTGATATTGATGAACGTAATCGAACATTAAATGAATTAAATACAATGATTGCATATGCAAAAAATATTATGAAAGTAAATTAAATCTTGTAATTTTATTTTTGTTTATTTGAGTATTTTAAAGAATATTCAACCAAATGAAAATCGTCGAAATTATAAACACAGTTCATCATCAGATTTTTCAATTATTGATCAACGTCATCAGTAAGTTTTATTTAAATTCTTGTTGTTTTTGTTACTTTTGTTCATTTAAAAGACAAGAAAATACAGCATACTATGAAACGAAAATTCAACGATTAACAAAAGCTCTCGATGATAAAGAACAAGAACTTCGTTCATTAAATACGCAATTAATAACGTATGAATTTATTGTTTTTATTTAATTCAATTTTTCTTGTTTTTCATTTTTTAAAGAACAAAAGATGAACTTTTACAAATGCAATATAAAGTACAAAATCAAGAATCAAATGCTGATGCTATACGTAATTCAATGCAAATTGAATTAGATAAATTAAGACATTGGTTACAAATATATGAAAATCGAAAAGCAATGTTACGTCCACAATATCATGAAACATTAAAAGAATTAGAATTAAAATTACATGAACAAGAAATGTTTTATAGAAAACAAATTAAAGATCTTGATTCAGAAATGAAAAAAAAATATCATGGAAAACCATCAGATGATTCAGGGTAAAAAAAAAACATTTCCTTATTTTCTATTTTTTGTCTTCATTCAAGTTAGGATGAGACTATCTCACAAATATACATTTTGAATTTTGAATTGGAAGATAGTTGACTTAAAGAACATCGAATTCAGTATTATTGCCGATTCGAATCTAAATAATATTGGGATTACGTTGAATAATATAAATGAAAATATAATGTATCTATATTGCTTGCAAGAATGTTTTTATAAAGCTAAGATCATACTTTTATATAGACTTGAAAATGTGTCATGACAAGTTGTACTTATTTAATAGTTCATAATATTTTGAGTAATGAGCTTATAAAACATTTAAAAATCGCCAGACGTCGATTTTGAGCTGAAATTCAAGTCAAAATTGATTATCGCTCAAAATGATGGAAAATACAATAATATAATCTCTATTTTTTTTTACTAAAAAGAACATGGTTTCGAACTTTCTCCACGTGTTCTTAGAAGGGGTATTTCATCTAGTGATAAATCATGTTGAAAATGAGTCTTACTTTATTAGGGACACCCTATTGAGATTAGAGACAATCTAAAAGAATTAGTACTCAGGTCTTTTCTCATAGAAGAATTTTCAATATTAATATTTTAGGATAGGGAATAGTAGAAAAATTGATACATTCACAGTACATTAGTTCTCTTAAGAACTTTTTTATCCAAAGTTTGAGTTCAATAGTCGTTGTTAATGACCATGTTAGCAAGACAACGACATTTTGTTTAAAAGCTTACTAAAATGCTCGTCAATATAAAAAAAAAGAAAGACCTCTGGATATATTAATCTTCTAAGATTTTCTCTCAAATAACATCCGAAGATTTCGAACGAAATAATATTTATCAAGCACTTAGATATGATAATAAAGTTTAGATAGAAAAGATATATTAGACCAATTTAATTCAATCATGTGTAGCCGAGATCAAAATTAAAGACATTTTTTCATAAATATAAAATTTGCTGTATAGTGTTCAAGTAGCATAAATCTATCTTTAGTAATGTTTTATACAGTGTGAGAGGTCGAAGAAATGGCTTCCCTCAGCATTTATGGTTATTATGCCACATAGTTTGCTTCCAAAAATGTTTGTTCACCCTCTCGAACTTTTACATCGTTCCTCCCAAAAAAAAAAGAAAGAAAAGCTAGAAAAAACACTGATCATTAATAGAACATTAGAGTAACTTAAATTATGCTGTTAATGAATGGAACAAGCATTAGATAATCAATACAGCAACAACAACTGATTCAAGCTTATTACATGTCATCTGTTCTCTTCTGTTGAGATCAATTTTTGTAATGTTCGAGTGTTCATAACATATGCTAATGGTATGCTGAGTAAACTTGCTCGGAGCGCAGGCCATCCTATCCTATGATTTAGGACATCCATGAAGAGCACTATAGAAAACTAATTAGCCCTTACGTAACATGTTCGTAAAGCAAAAAACTAAAGAGACGCGCACCATAGCCCAACACTGTCTTGCAAATCTCTGTAACAGACTTATCAATTGAAGTAAATTATTTCGCTTCCTCTAATTTGTTTCTATAACATTTTAGTAAAATTTTTTTCTACTCAAAAGTCCATTTTCGAACTTTTTTCATTTTATATATAATTATTATTATTCTTATTTTATAGATTTCTCAGTGATACAACAATATGTGAACATCGTATATCTCCAACAATTGATACTCATGATACTTCCATGTTACGTGAACAAATTCAAAATATATTCTCTCACCATGTTCAAGAATTAGATAAATGCAATACAAAATATAAAACAAATTTATCAAATTTAAAAAATCGTCTTCATGAATTAGAAAATTCTGCAACAACGACAACTACGAATAGATTAGATTCTTAGAATAATCTGTGCTTTTTGACATCAGATATTGTAGAACATTTATGTCTTTGTTTTTCTTTTGTACGCATTTTTTCCTTTGTAGTTTAGATTGTCTTTGCTTTTGTGCTTTTCATTTTTCTTTTTATTACTGAAATGAAAAAAAAAAAAGCAACATCGAGAAAAACAAAAACACATAATATGTTATTCTTGTGTAGAAAAATACGAAAAAAGAAAGAAATTGTCATTAGACTAAAAAAAAAGATATCAAAATTGAAGAAAATATCGTTGTGTGTCGTTCTATCCACACATAATCAGTGTTGGAGAATAATCGATGCAGCATCACTACGACCTATTTGATTAAGTACATTAATCATATTAACAAGAGATTCTTGTCGAGCTTCCCATAATGTTAATAAATGTTCAGTTGGACTTGTTTTCGTTGCAAAATATTGAAGATAACTAACAAAGAATAATTACAATCGTATATATACATATATGATTAATAATATTAATTTTTCTTACTTTATTCCAAGTAAATTGCTTGCAAACATACGCCAATCATTGCCGAGTGAATTAGGTGGATCTAATACTTTACATAATTGTTGACGAACTAGAAATGGTATTCTTTGAAAGGAAAAATGATTTTAAATTTAGATTAAAATGGGTGTGTTGTTTTTAAATAGTACCTAGCTGTTTCTTTAGAAGATTTTATCGGTTGACGATGACGAATTGATGAAGTATTAAATCCAGAATTCTGAAGTAACTAAAATAAAAAATAATTTATTATTAAATTCATCAGTTTTTCATTAGTGTAAAAATAAATATCTTTAAAATACTAATGAAGTACCGATCTATATCATTATTAAATTACTTATAGACACTTCGATTGTTTTATGAAATAGATTAATGTACGAAAGTTTAAAAAACTAAAGTTATTATTACATTTTTCGTTATAAGTCATCAGCTCGGAATAGACGACTGGTTATTCTCTTTATGCACAGCACTAACGAATAACTTTCCCAGGATAATTATTCATTCCGCTTAACCTAATCATCTGAGACACGCTTCTCATTGTGAACCATTTGAAATCTATGTTCAATATTCCATTTTTATGAGATTTATAAAAAGAATAAACTAGAAGCCGTTATCAACATAGATTGAACTAGTTTGCCGTAATAATATCTTTTTCATGAAAAGTAATTGAAAAGCTTTTTCTAAATGTAAACATGAATCTTTCAGAACACGTGACATTCTCAGCAACTCCTTGTTCAATACAAACTCATTCTATTTCGAGGAAATTCAAAGTCTCATGCCACATTAAACATACGTCGACTAAACGTGATAAAAAAATGAAGCTCGATCTATTTCTAAATAATGATATTCAA